AATTTGAGACCATGAATTCCAAATATAAGAAATTTTTCAAAATTCAAAGTTGAAAATGATTTTCTCTTAAAAGCAAAATTAGATTTTGAAAAGCAAAATGAAATTTTGAAAAATGATTTTGAACTTTCAAAAACCAAAATTGAAGATTTAGAAAAAGAAAACCTTGAATTGAAGGTTAAGCTTGAATACTTAACAAAAGAAAAATAAATAATTTCTAAAAACAATTCATTTATGTTAAAATGACAAAATGTCCACATTGTATTTTCATGGTCACTATGCACATAATTGTCTTACAAAGAAAATAAAATCTTTTAAAATTAGACAAGTATGGGTTCCTTTAGGAACTACAAACATTGATACTAACCTTCAAGGATCTAAAGCAATTTGGATACCAAAATTCAATTAAATGTCTCTTGTAGGTTTGTGGGAGCAATGGTGATGAAAGTGAAGATATTCAAATACTCTAGCCACACTTGATATGGAATGGGTAACCTCTAAGCTTATTTTAATTATCTTGCATAATTGGTTGATCATTTAGTTTAAGGATGCATGAGTTTTGATTTTAAATAATTTCTTGTTTTCTATCTCATGTATGTTAAAAGTTTTGTGATGAACATTTTCTAAAGTTTAATGATTTTCATAAATGTTTGTTCATCATAATGAATTTTGGTCCAAATTGTTTTTAATGTTTGTTTTTACAAATTTTAATTTTTGACCTTAATTTAAATGTTTATGCATGTGATTTATTGCAAATGATATCTCTCTAACAATTGATATCAATTTTTTTTAAATGTATAATATTTTTGGATAACTTTATGCACATGCACTTAAATACAAAAATTGATATTGCATAAAATATTTTAGACTTGGATATATTGAATTTCATGTGCTACTAACATGTTTGTTCATATTTGTTGAAATTTAATTTTTTTAAGTGTCAAACTTTTAAAGTCAAAATTTTATTTGGAATGCTTTTATTGATGGGGAACTTTGATTTTTCAAATGATTTTATTCTAAAATTTACCACTTACTCTCCATTGTTATTTTTGAACTTTAAAGTTGAATTATTTTTTATATAACAAAAAGGGGTAGAAATATATGTTTGCAAAATTCAATTTCTCAATGAAAAAGGAGGAGCTTTAATATTTTTCAAATATTTCTCTTTTTCATGAAATATTTTATTAAGGGGGTTTTGCCAAAAATAAATTTTAAAAAATTCAATTTCTCATTGAAGAATGAGGAGCTTTAATATTTTCCAAATACTTCTCTTTTTAATGAAATATTTTATTATGGAGGAGTTTTGCTAAAAACAAATTTTCAAATGTTTTGTTATATCAAAAAGGGAGAGATTGTTGAACCATGTTTTATAATATTTTGATATAACAAATTAAGGCAAAATATTTTTGGACTTGATTGAATTTGTTCAAAGATTTCAAAAGTTTTCAAAATTAATCTAAAGTCCATTAAACTAGAATTTGAGTACAAAATTTTTCTGGGTACGTAGTACCGATATTGTTCTTACAATATCGGTATTGTATGAACAATACGGTACTGTTCACGTGGTACCAATACTAAAGGTAGGATAAGTATCGATAGTCTCTAGGTAGTATCGATACTACTAGTTATTTTTCAAATTGCTCAAATTCCAGAATTCAAAATAGGTACCGATACTCAAAGGGGTACCAATACTACTTTACATAGTGGTATCGATACCATGAGGCATAATATCAATAATGGTCATGCCCAACTGTCTTTAATGGGTAGTTTATTTAAAAATTATAAAGGTAGTACCGATACTCATTAAAGGAGTATTGATACTCCCTGTCCTAGGCAGCTTTATTTTGCAAAAAAAACAATCACCACGGCTCCAAATCATCCCCAACGGCTATAAACGACCACAAACTCTTTCCAATATATAAAAACAAGTTGAGGACACTTGAAGAAGAGTTATAACACCTATCCAAGCAATCAAACACAAGAGAAGAGTTTTTCATTCTTATTTTCCTTTCTCTTATAAATATTTGTGTCTTGAGCTCATTGCAAATCTTTTATTTATTTTCTTGTGAGCTTAAATTTTTGTAAACACTTTCCTTGTGAGAGGTTTTTCTTGTTTACATCTTTTAACCTTATAAAGGAGATTGATTCTAGCTTAGCCTGTGAAAAGCTATGGAGTTGTAAATGTTATCTCTTTATTCTGGAAAAAGAAAGAACAAATTAGTAAATTTATTAGAAATTCCTTAGCGAGGAGCTAAGGTAGTGGATGTAGACTTGATTGAGAAGTCGAACCACTATAAATCCTTGTGCAAATTGTCTATCTATTTTTACTCCTTACTCCCTAATCTCAAAAGGCCAATTCACCCCCTCTTAACAAATTATTCGGTTGATCATTGAGCTTCATCGAAAAATCACAACAATTATAGGTAGCACCCACTTTATTTTACCGTTTACATTATTATTAACATTTAAACAAACTGGTAGCTAGTTTAATGTAATAAGTAGCGCCTATTTTATTTTACCGTTTACATTATTAGTAACCTTTAAACAAACTGATAGATAGTTTAACGTAATAGGTAGTGCCTATTTTATTTTACTATTTACATTATTAGTAACCTTTAAACAAACCAATAGGTATTTTAACGTAATATGTATCACCTATTTATTTTACCATTTACATTATTAGTAACCTTCAAACAAACCGATAGGTAGTTTAACATAATAGGTAGTGCATATTTTTATTTTAACCGATTAACTTTTAAATATAAGTATCGATACATACAATATATGCATGGATACTTTTTCAGGACAATAGTTGGACATAACTTACTGTCGAAACAATATCCATACTTTTAATAGTTCTTCATGTTTTCCGCATACAATAATAATTTAATAATTTTATTTACATAAAAAATATTTAATTATTTAGATTTTTTATAAAATATTATTTAGAATTTAATTTTAACAATTTTAACTAAAGATAATAATAAATATAATTTCTATGTTTATTAATTTAATTTGATAATAATATACCATAACATAAAAATAAGTCATTAGACGCTTATAATTACTAAATTAATATCTTAAAACTCACTCAAAAGGTAACCCTGAATTAATATTTTTTACAGTGAAGTAAGTATAGATACTTATATATATGTATCGATACCTACTGATAATCAAAGTTTACGGGTTACCAAATTTTTTAATAGTTCTTCATGTTTTCTACCTACAATATTATGAGTCTGTCAATATTTCCGACAGCGCTTTACCGAATTTGTTAATTATCTTATTAAATTTCTGGTCACGTCGTTTCTTAACCTTACAATAGTCCGCCTTTCACATCGAAGGAGAGCAAATCAGAAGAACCTGCAATTCTATTATTCTAGAAAGAAGCTCCTACAACTAGGGTGAGTGACTCGATTCAACTTGAAAAAATTCGATTTGAATTGATTTCGAGTAGTAATTTTATAAACTCGACTCGAATAGAAAAATTTCAAGCTCAAATCGAGTTGTATTTATCGAGTTGTAAAATACAACTCGAATAACTCGAAATTTTTCGAAACTAGTAGATTAATTTTTAAGTTTGAATCGAGTATCTACACTTTGTATGGTATTTATAAATCACATATGAAAAAATACAAAAAATATATATGTATTGTATATGATTATAAAATATAATTTAAATTGAAATAAAATAATGTCATAATATTGTATTTCTTACTGCCACGGTGCTCTCCTGCTTCTTCCATTGCTTGGTTCATTCAGTTTTATAACGAATCTTGCTTCCTGATGACGACGATAGTGATGGAATTCAAAAACAAAGAGGGGGAGGGTTCGGATTATAAAATGAAAGTGAAAAGGGCATAACAAACAAAAGATAAAAAAAAAACTTATTTGGTCATTTGTATTTGTACGCAGGGGTCTTTCAATCAAAGAACATTTCCCAAGGTTATATTAACTAATGTAACGTGCCGTGTCAGGAATGATAAATGTTAGTGATTAATATGTTATTTTTAAAATATCATTTTCGTATTATATCAAAATTTTTAAATATATATATGTTACGATTGATTTATGGGAATAATTTTCATTTTTGATTAAAAATTTATTGAATAAAATAACATTTTATTTATTTATTTATTTATTTATTTATTAAAAATACATTATAAGGTTGCATTTTTCATAACATAAAATTTATAGGACGCCCGTTTATTGATGTAGTAGAAATTTCAGGCAATGATTTTAACACTAATGTCATTAAATACAAAAAGGAAGAAATATAAAAATTAGCTGACCTTTATTCCTATATGTAATGGGATAAGGGGAAGGTAAGATAGTAGGCTGGTCCCCAACGCTAGGTTGAGAGTAACTTCCGTAGGAGACCTCCGAATTATGAAATGCCCTCCGTGGGATTCGATCCCATGACCTCAAGGTTAAAAACCTTGTGCTCTACCAACTGAACTAAAAGATTGTATAAATTTTATTAAAAATAATAAATTACTAAAAATGGGTTTATTTTTCCCACTAATCATTTTAAAATATAATACAGTTTTTTTAGAAAATAATCTTCTTTACATTATTATTTCCTTTTTTTTCTTCGTTGAATAACCTAGCATTGTCTGTTGGATTATGATTGTTGATAGATTTCTAGGGTTTATTAGCATAGTCTTGTTATTGTTCTAACGTGTTATCAGTACTGCAGTCCAAGATGTTCATGAGAATTAGCTCCAACACTCTTGAAACAAATAGTTGTGATTTTCAGTTGGCATCTCGAAATGAAAACAAAAGTAGACTACACGTATAAAATTAAGCCAAAAAATGAGAGAAATTCACCGAATGCAAAAGGATAGAAGGAAAAAGAAGAAGAGCTTACTCGCAGATTGTTGGACCATAACAATAGCAAAGAACTTTATGGTTAGCGAGAAATTGATTGAGCAGAGAATAGGTGGTACAGCCTAAAACGATCTGATTAAACGGATTTTAGGTAGAAAGTGTCGATCACAACCGATTACAAACTCAATGCTATAGCATCTTATTGTCGATGTTATTTCGACAAAGCAACAAACAGTTTATGGCATTCAAGCTCGTATTAGTATATCCCATCAACAAATTAAAGCTAGTGATTATGAAACCATCTTAAATGTAATACCATTACACAGCCTGGGGAGAAGAGAGCATCTCCATATTTAGTACCTCAGATGCCATTGAGGGTCACCACCACTCGACGAGCTGTTGGAGCATCACGATGCTCGCAAAGCCAAATGCCCTAAAGCATAACAGACCAAAAAATTGGACAATTTTGTTAAGAGGGGAAATTGGAAAGCAAATTTAAACAAGAGTAACCCAAGTTTTAGCAGTCTCGGAGCAAATTAATCAAAGGGCATTCAAAGCAAGACCTGCCAAGTTCCCATGTTAAGTTTTCCATCTGTAATAGGAACCCTGTAGAATAATAACATAAGGATTGGGTGAATTTGAAGTAATTCAAAGAACAAAAAATGAAACCATCGTCAAACTGAAATGTACTTACGTTAGGGCGCAGCCAAACATTGATGATTTGATGTGGGCGGGCATGTCATCAGGGCCTGAAAAGGTTAAAATGAAACTTAAATATGAAGAAACTGACATGGAAGGGAAGGATAAGGAGCAGGGTTCAAGTTATATCATTAGAGTATAGCTGAAAGAGCAAGGAGTCTAGATTTGTAAATATGAACTGACACAAACCTTCAAGCGTATGCTTCCAAGGCGCAGACCTTCCCTGCAAAATGAAGATCAAAATTTCAAGCACCAATTAAAAGAAGAAGAAAAAACTAAGCATTCTGTTATCTCCATACCTCTGGAACTATTTTATTGAGGAAGGTCTCGGTGTCACCACGAACATCCGAGTCATAATTCTCATTGATGGTAAGAGAAGCACTTGTGTGTTGCACTGGAATTTTGAAATCGAAAATATGTGAATATATAGTATAAAAATAATAATCATTATGCAGGGGGGGAGAGGATCAAAGGAGTCAAGCGAAAATAGTGAAATAGAGATACTCACGGAATAGATGAGCAAGGCCACACTTAAATTCTGACAAATCGGGTCTAATTTCCTTCAATATCTGATTCCCAAAAGCAAAGTTAAAGGTAAACGAAATGGAATTATTGGCAGGCAAAAAGGAGGAGGCATGTTGGTTACCTGGGACGTAACGAGATGGCAGCCTCGCCGATGGGGAGGAAGAGTAATTGTCTTCTGAGCCCATTTAGGGCCGGGAACGGTGGCAGCCATGGGATTGGAATCGACGGAGGATGTGTTGTACTGTGCTTTTACCCACGCAGGGTTCGATGAAAACAGTGATGAGCTTTGCATCAGCATCTTTTAGATTCTCTCTCAAAGTTGTAATCTAACATGCTTATTTCAAATGGCCCATACCCGGAGCACAGTATTTCCAACGGACTTCCCTATACTCCACAAATGTCATTGATATCTTTTTGGGCCTTTTTTTGCAAATTGAATGATGTTCTCAAATCTGAGTTCGTCTACGAGCCTCATCTCTTGCGTGGTTGGCAGCCATCTCTATCCATTGCCCCCATAAGATTAATAACGAGACATAATAGGATTAGATCATCTGGTTGATAGTAATACAAATAAATGAATAATAAAATTTATTAACGGTTAAAAAGGACAAATATTATTGTTAACTATAAATAACAAGCAAATTTATTATTAGTTTAAATATTTTGATATACTTTAGTTAACAAACGAATGTTCTCACCTAACATATAGAAAAAAAATGTGAAAATAAACCACATTACATTTTTAAATATACATTTGAATTTTAAGAATGATATCAATCACTAACAATTAACATTGAGAGTTTATTTGTTTCATTGAAAAGAAAATTTAAAAAATGAATTTTATAAGAATAAATTATATTATTTTTAAAAATCAACATGTGAAAATAAAATTTTAATGTTTCGATGATGTTGCATAGATTATTTTATGATGCTTGTAAATTTACTGATATAAATAAGTATCGATTTATTAAAAAGAATTATATCAATTCTCCCCTTACACATTCTACAAGAAATTGAAGAGAAAAAACAAATTTATACGGGTATAAATAAATATTAAAAAATTAAATTTTAAAAAAATTTGACTAACAATAAAGTACCAAGTAAAAACTAGAGATATAGTTACTAATTATGGGGGCATTGTCAACTATAAAAGAGAAAATATCCACGAGAAAAGGATAAAAAAAAAGGATCAAAATCTCATAAATTCAAGTTCTTTTACAAATAACAAAATTTTGATATTCTAAATAAATCCCAAGAAAAAAAGAAGACGCAAAGAAAAAAAGTTGGAATAGATTACTTCAAATACCACTAATTTTTAAGCATCGACTCATTTATATATTAACGTTTTAATTTTGTCAATTTTAACAGTGTAATTATATCACTTTACCGTTAATTATTTAATGACACGATAATATGACAACTCCGTACGATGTCGTTTTGCTTAAATAAAATATTGTAGTTGAGAGGATTTGAATCCTAAACATATGAAAATATATCTTAATGCTAACCGTTAGATTACTTTAAATTTTTTGTTATTTTTTTTCTATAAAATTTCTGAAAGTCTAAAATTTTAGTTAAGATTAATTCTATAATTTCAAATAATCTAAGGATAAAACCTATATTTTTCAATTGTATTTTCTCTCTTTTTCTTCAACAGGACACATTTTCTCTAACCCCAAAATTTCATAAATTTGAAAAGAAAAAAGATTAAGTTATGATCTAGAAATTTAAGAACGGATGTCAAATTTTTAATTTCCTTTCTTTAGAATAATGGATATGCAATTTTTTCCTTTTTTCTTAACACATTAAATTAAATTTATAGGGACTTAGTGCATCCACCTTGATTAGGAAAAATTAGGAAAAGACTTCGAGTGATAGATCCGCAAGCACTTTTAACACAAATTTATAACAAAAAGCCAAGCACGCGTACTTGCTAACTGGTGCTTCACTGTTACTGTTTGAAGTTGCTTTAGGAGCAGACATGGTATTCTTAGTAGCACGGGGTCTATCCTGTACCACATTCCGGTTCGTGATCTCTTTGGCTTTTGTTGGTTGAGACCCAAGGTTCTCAAGCACATAACCTGATATCAGTCCCAAGTTTGAAGAAGGCCTGGATGATGGCATCACGCTTACTTTTGAATTTGAAGGAAATTCCCCCTGCAACATAGATTATGCCTTGCATGTCAGATTTGTTAACATTAGTCTCGGTATTCATGAATCGCAATAGTTGCTACTTCAGAGAACTCATCCATTGCATCGGAGAACCCTCTTTTGTTGCCTGAAACAACAGTCTTATGCAGTGCAGTGCAGTGACCATCACTTGAAGGATGCAAAGGGAAAAGGGGTTTATCATCGAGTTGAGCTGTGTTTAGCAAGCAAAGATCCTGATTTATTTCGAGCAACTGGGATCTAGGAAGCCCAAGACTAAGCTCGGTTGCCTTCAGATTCAAACTAGACTTGCTTTCTTCGGATACAAGGCAGACAATAGAGCTATCCATAGGAGAACAATCAGACAAGCCCATGTAGTAGCGCTCCTTCAATTATGGCACACTCTATCCACGGAGCCTGAAGAATCCAGTAAAGTTATTTTAGTTGGAAAGGAAAAGGATTTGGCCGGATCTTGTTCTGTGACTGCAAATTGAAGAAAAAAAAAGCTTCGACAAATAGATCTACAAACACGTTTAAGAGATGAAGTTGACCAACAGCAGCAAGGGATAATGGCGATGCCTAACAAACCATACTGAACATTGAAGTTGGCCCAAAGGTTAAGCATTAACTTTGTATTTCTATGGGTTTAAGGTTCATATCTCTTCAGTTCATATTATTTCAATAATGTTTTCGAGTAAAACGACATGGTTTTGTGTTTATTGGACATCGAAATAACTTCGTTTTGGTGAGACATTAACATTAGTGATAAAATTTACAAAACTAAAACATGATAATAGGATGAAAATGTGTAGCTAGGAGTGAGTAAAATTCGACTCAAAAAATTGATTTTTTCGACTCGATTCGATTCGAAGAAGTTTCAAGTTTAAATCGAATTGTAAAATATAACTCGAATAACTCAAAATTTTTAGTAATTAGTAGATTAATTTTCAAGTTTGAGTCGAGTATCTCGACTTTGTATGGTATATATAAATCACATATGAAAAAATAAAATAAAAAATATATATGTATTGATAGTATTGCATATGATTATAAAATATCATTTAAATTATAATAAAAATATCGTAATATTTACAATTAAATTTAAATAGAAATTTAAAAATTTAACTCGACTCAATTCGAAAAACATTCAATTCAACTCCAAGTTACAAAATAGGATTTATCAACTCCACGAAGAAACTGATTTACAGGAATCATATTTTTTTGTAATTACAATTGTATTTGCTGGATTTATTTTATCTTATAAATAACCAAAAAACGAAAAGATGAATTACGGGAAAAAAAAAGTTGAAACAAACACCCATAAAATGTATGTTGAAATATAATTTTAGTATAGTACCGGTGTCCGAAATATAAAAAAGAAGATATATAATGGGGAAAGAAAATGTTTTAAGTGCATAGCCGGACCAAAATCAACCCAAAGAAAATACCCAGACCAAACAATTATTTTGATTTAACTTGAACATCTCTTCAAGGAAACGAAACAGATCGCAGGTACTAGAAACTCACTGAAATCGGAAATGAATGCTAGTGCTACAGTAGCAGTAGGCTCTTGCCTCTCAACCTCCAAGCCATTGAGCATTGGCTTAAGTCCGGTTCCTATCTGTTTGCGCCGCAGGAGGAGGTGTTTGATGATTGAGGCGGAGGTTGAGCTAGCCGCGTCGGAAGCCCAATCTGCCTATCGCCGCCTCATTCTACTTCGCCATGCCAAGAGTTCTTGGCAACATCCGGCTTTACGAGGTTTGCTTCTTTTTTTTCCCCCTTCTTCTCAAAGAATCTCTTCCACTTACATTCTGACCTCTTGTTTTTATTAAAACCATATCTTGCCATCTTAATTTTCGTAATTGGTGAATGCCTCAACTTGGCGAACCCCAACACCATCAGATCACGACCGTCCACTCAGTAAATCCGGGCGAGCTGATGCAGTGGCGGTTTCTCAGAAGCTCCAACGAATTGGTTGGATCCCTCAGCTTATTTTATCCAGGTTAGCTAGCTTCTCTTCTCTTATTATCATATTTTGAAAACCTTAATATTGATGTTTTGAAGACAAATAAAGAATTCAATCTGTTAATTCGTGTTGCTCCAGCGATGCCGTGCGGACCAGAGAAACACTTAAAATCATGCAGGAACAGGTGCGTGGTTTTCTGGAAGCAGAGGTCCATTTTATTTCTAGCTTTTATTCCATTGCAGCCATGGATGGGCAGACTGCTGAACACCTCCAACGAACTATCTGTCAGTATTCAAGTGATGAAATACTTACCATCATGTCAGTGTCTCTTTTCTGTGTACTTTGATTATTCCTTTGCTGTCTTTATTTTTTTTCAGTATGTTATTCTGGTTCAAGCTTTATGTTTCTACTCTCTAATTGAAACCTGATTGTATGATTGTGTGTTTGTTTTCTTAGAAAATTTCTATTTGTAATTTATCACAGATTCACACTAAATTTGTTATACAGGTGCATGGGGCATAATAAGGGATGGGAAGAGGCGGCCTCCATGTTTGCTGGTGCTTCCATAGAGCTCAAGGCTTGCAATGCTGCTTTGCTTGAAGCTCCTGGAAAATCTTGGGAAGTGGTTCGATTTCCTTCCATAAAATATTTTCATGTTGTCTCTGTGTCATTTTTGCCTTATTTTTGTATGGAAGTAACTATAAAATATAGTCTTTATAAGCTAAACATACGCCAAATCCAACCACCCATACTTCATTACTATATGTTTTACTTTTATCTGCAAGAACTGCTCTTTTTGAGTGGTGCTAAGTTGGAGTTGTGAACTATTCTCATAAGCTATGGAGCATAATCTAGTTTATATTTCAGGGTGTTCTCATAGAATCTGTAGATTTAACGGTATAGTATATTGAAATTTTGTTTGAGAACAGGAAGTTATAGATGAGGCTGATGCAAGCTTTCTATCTTATGCTTTTTTGAACAGAAAAAATATGTAGTAGGACGTTTCTGATCTTGTTGCCTAATTTCATGAAATAAGGCCTGCGTTGCTTGTACTTTGAATGTAGGATATGTACATTCTAACGTGAGTATACATGTATGATCCACATAAAATCAGACTATTTAAGGGTTCATGTAGAGACCCTACAGGGTTTACATTCAATACACTTTCAAAGTTTATTCACTTGGAAGTATAAGCATCGGTGAAACACTGAAACCTATTGTGAAACTCTTGAAAACTGTTATTTGATGAATAAACTGTGCTACCTTGGAAACTAGGGAACAATATCATAATCCAATAGTAGACAGATGGGAGAAGTGGATCAACCATGTTTGGGACTGGATTGAATGATGTTCTTCTAAACAAGAATAATTATGCTTTTGAGTTTCAATGCCCGTAGCTTTTGCATCTGGTGTGCATAGATTTGAGGCCACCTTTGTTTTGGAGTTTTTTATGCACCTATTTTGAAGCCCTTGTGATAGCTTCATAAATGAAAACTGATATATTAACATGGCATGTCTTAATAGAATTGGTGCCGTGTAAAAGGAGAATTTGGTGGCTGAATTCTATAGCAATGACGGAATGAATTTATGGTGTTTATCATGTCTAACCCCCTGCCGATATTTCTTTTTAATTAAAGAAACTCAATATATTGAAAGTTGTGGTTAAATCATAATGCACTTTTTGGAGAGGTACAGAGATGAATATGCAAAAACTTGACCAGTGCTGCTTAATCACCATATATTTTTTTTTCATATTTGAGATTGGAGATATTTTTGGGTTATAACTTTTGAAGGGATGAATCATGACTGAACCTAATGTCTTACCTTTTCAGGCATTTTCTGTAGCAGGGTATGGTGGTTGGAAGCTTCAAGGCTTAGTGACACCCAGTAGTAACCTGTAGAGCATAGACAATCCGAAAGTCCCCCCCCCCTACCTCCTCTCTCTGCTAGGAAAATGGAAAGAAGACATTAACAAGAGAAAGAGGTGTTCTAAATTTTAAATAAAATATTAATTTAACTCTTATACTTTAAATAAAATATTAATTTGATTCTTAAATTCGTGAAATCCTATCATCAATTGTCGTTCATCATAATTAACTTATGCTATTTGATGACATGACATATTAATAAAAATATTAAATTTTATTTATTTTGACTCTTAAATTTTAAATAAAATATTAGTTTAATCCTAAATTCATTTTTATCTAAATATGAGGATTAAATTATTATTATAATTTATTTTAGATGAATTTAAAGAGTTTTAGAGTAGGTTTGTGAAGTGCAAAGTAATTTTTTTGTGATGATATTAGATTCGAGTTCATTAGATTAAAAGCAATGTATTAAAAATTTTATGGTCCAATTATTGTAAACAACAACCAGTGATGCTAATCAAATGTAATTGATAACGTGATGAACAACGATTGACAATAAGGACTTTAATTGAATTTAAGGTTGAAATTGATATTTTATAAGTTAAAGAGTTAAATTAATATTTTATTAAGAATTAATGGCTTAATGACTAAAATAAGAAATTAAAAACAAAGGTGACCAGAATGTAATTGTTTCAAAATCAATAATAAAAAAATACAGACGGAAAGAAGAGACCAGCTATGTGGTTTACCCAAATACTTATGAAACAAAGAGACCAATAGGGGTGTTTAAATCCAAACCAATTCAAAAAAATAACCGAAAACCGATCCAAAAAATCGAAAACCGAAAAAAACTGAAACCGATTTAGTGTGTTTGGATTTTTTTTAAAAAAACCGATCGGTTCGGTTTCGGTTTGAAAATCCGGAACTGATCTAAACCGAACCGATATATCTTACAATTAAGTATGAACGACACCGTTTCAACTTTCAAATTCAAACCCTAGCCTACTTTAGAGTTTAGACTCCGCCTATTCTCAATGTTCTCATCCTCCTCGTTTATTTTTTCCATTAAGCTTTCAATCAAGTTAATCAGATTCTACTCCGAGGAAAGAAAATCCAAAAAATCTGCTCTCTTGTTACTCAAAACCAGCTGGTATGTTACCGTGATTTGATTCTGTTTTGTTTTTCGAGTATGATATTTTCTTGAATTTTCGAAGGTTTTTTTGTTTTTCCTGGTTGATTTCTGTATTGTTGGGCCTATTGTTTTTCTCTGCAAGTTCTATCATGCATATGAAAACTACATGAAACATGTTGATTTTATTTGCATACAGGAAACGATTGAGACATTAAGAAACCATGCGAAATATCAAAGGAGAATGTTTGATCAGGCTGTTCAATTGGTTTGCCCTGGTGGGGTCCTTGTGTACTCAACGTTAGTTTGTTTCCTTAGGACAATTTTATATTTTTGCTTTCATAATTTATCAATCTACGCTTCTCATAATAGGACTATAAATGTTTTATGTTGCTTGCATTATGCATTTTTGATTGGCTGAGTGTGCTTTCTAATAAAATTTTGAAGTAATTAGCTGTTATTTACTGGATCCTTATTTTGTGAACCTAACTTCTAAGGTTAGATGATGTTTTTGAGATTCGTAGTTTGTGCTTCTAGTGTTATCATACTTCACTTGTTCATTTGTTTTTTTATCAAGTGATGAAAGATTTAAACTGATTTTTGTTGTTTTAGTCTTGAATAATTTTCACATCATGTTATGTTTAGGTGTACAATCAATCCTGGTGAGAATGAAGCATTAGTCCGGTATGCTCTGGATACATACAAGTTCCTGTCTTTAGCTTTACAGGTAAGATGCCTTAAATTTAACTAAACCTTACGACACATTAAAACTATAGGGAGAGTTAACCATAATGGACAGTTCATCATGGACTGGTTGTGGTTTCAAACACGTCTGTAAATAAAGGCCTGAGATTAATTTGCCTTGTTATTGCATCGGTAAAGAGAACAAAAATTTATGAAATTATCCTTGCTGCCATCATTATAGTGTTACTGTTATTTTTATGTTCATCAACGGTGTTTATTCCATCGATTTTAGCTTAGGATGTGAAATGATGAAATTATTTTTGAAAAATTAGAATCTCAAAATCGTACAAATTCAAACTGAATCAAACCGCACTTAATTGAATCAGATCGAATCGAATTTTTTTTTAAAAACATCAAACCGATCCAAATCTTAAAAATTTATACTTTTAGATCGGATGAATTTTTAATCAAAAACCGATCCAAACCGACCGCGAACACCCTAGAGATCGGTAAAGAAAAAGCTCGGTCTCTCTCTCTCTCTCTCTCTCTCTGTGCCTGGCTGCCCCCTCCGTTCTCGGCCGCCAGCAACACACCAAAACCTGTAAGCTCTCCGTCCTACTTTCTCTCTTTTGGTAGAATTTCCCCTCATCTTTGACTTTTTCTTCCACCTTCTTTTGAAAAGTTCGTTTCCCATTTTCTGAGATCTGGAATCGAATTTCTTCCACTTCTTTTTTCTTGATAACTCTTCCAAAGAAACAGGAAAAAAGTTCAGTCCAAAAGTGTAGCCGCTGTAGATCTGGAAGGAAAGCTCGTGAACGAGCTTTGTGTTTCTTCAGCTCTTTTTTCGTATCAATTGTTATTATTTGTTTAGTTGCCAAACAGCTCACATTCAGCTCAACATTTAATTTTTTTTCTTGACACGGGAGGTTGGACGTTTCGAGACGATGTTGGGGAAACATTCTTGCTGCCCATCTCTCTCTGTGGGACTGCAAATTTATAATTTCGTGTACGGGTTTTAAAAGATGCCTGTTTGTATTGCCCCATATGTTCCACTAAAAGAAGGAAGCTTCTTCTGTGCTCTCCCTCATAAAGCGAGAGACAGAGAGAGGTAGATAGAAATAGTTGAATTGGAGCCAACAAAAAATGTTGAAAAATTGAATTTTGGAGCTGTTGATACATTGCGCTGGAGTAATTACACGCTTCTTTATATTCACATTCCAAAGCTCATTACTAGCAAGATAATTGATCAGTTCATCAATTTTGTTATTCGACCTCCAAGGTATCTCTCTTTTACACTATTCGACCCTAATTCCATTCTCATCTCTTAAAGCTGGATCGGCCCAGTTCATGACCCTAAATTTTCCAGTGCAAAGAAAAGTAATATTAGTTTTTCTAATCAAACTACAATTTTGCTTCATGACTCTGTTTTGAAAATAAATTAAGCTATAGCATTAGTATGATGCATACATGCTCAGGAGGCTGGAGCTGTCTTAGCCAATTATTGCTTCCCCCATCTCATTTGTTGATTTGCAACTCCTCTTTTTTCATTACTCGGCATTTTTTAGTACTTGTAACCTGTAATGGCTGCGCTGCTGATCCGATCATTGATCTTCCCTTAAGTTACTATCTTTTATACTTTTGCCATGTGTACATGCAGGGCTAATTATAATCCAGATCAGTATCTTTGGCAAAAGGAGTTTACTCTTGCTGGCAGGCAATATAAAAGACATGATTTGGAGGCAAGTATGGATGTTAATTAGCCACCTTTCTCCCTTTTTATCTCTTTTTTTCCTATTTGTCACCTCTGTGCTTTATGTTAGCTTCTTGGAACATGTTAGATTATCTATTTCAAATGTATACAGCTTACAAATGCAAGGGTCCATAAGCTGCGTTGTAGTCATTACGCGCCTTCATCATTCCCTGTAGAAACTCCACTCCCTTGTGTTATATACTGCCATGGAAACAGGTATGAACTCGTTCCATAAATTCTGCTTAAATCTACATTGTAGTTATAAACAGCTTTTAGATGGTATTGTGCCTCAACAAGTAATTGATTTGAATCGTTACCAAAGATTTGCGTAGCATAAAAAGAGGGGTAAAATTTCACTCTCTTTTTATCTCCCATGGATGATATCACAGTGGATGTAGAGCGGATGCCAATGAAGCTCTGTAATTCTTCTCCCATCAAATATTACTGTATTCACACTTGATTTCTCGGGTTCAGGCTTATCTGATGGTGATTATGTTAGCCTAGGGTGGCACGAGGTATGTGCTCGATCTAGTTGAGTGCCTCTGTTACCCATGTTTGATGACCATTTATGTATTCTTTTGTCTTTTTATATTTTTCTTTACCTTTTCTTAAAACTCTTTGACAGAGAGACGATCTCAAGATTGTGGTATCATATTTGAGAAGTGAGACAAATATCTCGTATAGGCCTCTGGGGACGATCAATGGGTGCTATCACCAGGTGCTTCATCTTTCACCTCTCAGTTTATTGCATTTTCTTAAACAGGATGTGTTTGAAAGCCCTTGTTTCTGGATGTTTTGGACGCTTGTTCTCTTGATGGTGCTTCTCAGTTTTAATTTTGTTTCTTCCTAGGAAAACTATACTTACTAGTGTGCTAGGTTTCTCTCTTTGTTATTTGATGCAGCCTTCTTTATGGAGCAGAAGACCCTTCAATAGCAGGAATGGTGTTGGACAGTGCCTTCTCAAACCTATTTGATCTAATGATGGAGCTTGTTGATGTGTATAAAATCAGGCTTCCTAAATTCACGGTACAAATCTTTTCTTGCAACTCTGTTAGCTTAAATGTGAGCGTTTAAAAGCAAACTGGCATGTTAGACCAATTATATACCCTGTGAAGATGTCACATGTTGCTTATTAACTAATAGGCACAGGATGATATGCACGCTCTGAAGAAAGCAAATAATGGGGCTAAACATGAGATGCATGATTTCATATTAACCCCCCTCCCCCATTATGGCCACCAATTGAAGCAGAAAGAGTGGTCCAGTTGAAATATCCAAATTTAGTCAGTTGGTATGATCAGAAAATGCCACTGCACCTCAATACCAGATGTGAGGTGTGATAAATAGTGCTAATGTGCTGCTTTTTCCAAAACGGGGTATATTGATGCTGGTCTTGGTGGTACTAAACAGTAATTATCACTGCTTTATACCGAAAGGAAGTCAATCAGATTATTTGAATAATCTTTCAACGTCCCATATCATATGGTGATAATAGA